TCGAGAAGGAGGCCAACGGCGTCACGTACCGCGTGCCCGCCCTGCTCTACCTGCCCTGCGTGGCCAAGCTGCTGGCCTTCGCGGAGGAGCGGCTGAGCGCCGACGACGCCCACGCCAACCTGCTGGGGCTGCGCCGCGGGACTGTCTCACGGAGCTACGTCGAAAAAAAGCGGCTGGGGTTGGGGGGACACGTTGGGCTGGGGTCACGGGGACAGGGGGGGGGTTATCCTCCACCACTTGTGCCTAGCACAGCTGAGCTCCCAGAGGCACCAGGACAGGGAGTGGAAACTGGGGGGTGAGGTGGGGTGGATGTCACCCCTCTCCATCCTCTCCGGGCAGTGGGAAGACATGCGTGTGCTGGAGACGGCGACGCTGCGGCACCACCGGTCAATGAATCCCTGCCCACTCTACGACGAGTTCACCGGCACCCTCTTCCTTTTCTTCATCACGGTGCTGGGCAGGACGCCCGAAGCTTACCAGATCATCACCGGCCAAAACGTCACCCGCCTCTGCTGTGTCACCAGCGCCGACCAGGGCCTGAGCTGGAGCACGGCCACGGACCTGACGCAGCAGGTCATTGGCGGCGCCATCAAAGGTAACCGGACAGAGGACGGCGCAGAGGGAGGGGACAGCCCGCTGGACACTTGGGCTTTTGCCTCCTGGAGACACCCGTGGTGTGGCTGGAGGTGGCCTCGGGGCGGGAAGCCCGCAAGCAACAGAGAGATGCGGTGGAAAGGGATCCAGGGAAGAGGAGAGCGGGGACAGTATCTATGTTGCTTGCACTTACACAGTGGGCAGAGGAGATGGAAAGGCCCTGTAGAAATATGGGTGTTCCATCTGGGAAGGCTGTGGAGGGAGCAATGTTGGTGTAATGCCGTGCTCCCCTTGGCATGCCTTAGGAATCCCCATTGTCCCTGGAGCTCTAGGCCTTGTGGGTTCTGGAACTCTAACCCTAATCCTAACAGCTGTGGCCTGAGGCTAAGGTCACTAGTTCCATGTGCGTTCCAGCTGGGAAAGCTGGAGAGAGCAATGTGGGAGGCCAACTGGGCTCTGGGCTCTGCTGGCCTCTGAACCAGCGCCCCTGCAGTCCTCCTTGCCTAGATTGGGGGGTTCTCTGGAAACCCACTTTCGGCATGGCAGGGTCAGTCTTACCCCTACCCCATCTCTGCTCCCCAGACTGGGCTACGTTCGCGCTCGGCCCCGGGCACGGGATCCAGCTGCGGTCCGGTCGGCTGCTGGTGCCAGCCTACAGCTACCACATTGACTGCAAGGAGTGCTTTGGGCAGCTCTGCAAGACCACCCCTCACTCCTTCGCCTTCTACAGCGACAACCACGGCCAGGTCTGGCGCTTCGGCGAGTTCATCCCCAACCTGCAGACCGGCGAGTGCCAGCTGGTCTCAGTGGATGAGGAGGATGGCTCCAACGTCCTTTACTGCAATGCCCGCAGCCCCTTGGGCTTCAGGGTCCAGGCGCTCAGCACGGATGACGGAGCCGTCTTCCACGGGGGACAGCTGGTCCAACGACTGGTCGAGCCACCCCATGGCTGTCACGGCAGCGTCATTGGCTTCCCTGCACCTTTTGTGTATGTCCCTGCTGCCCCCCAGGACCCCGTGATGCCCCTCCGGGACTCAGCTCACCGGCTGCTCCCCAGGATGCTCCCCGGATTTCGTTACCTGCCCACCCACTTGGCAGTGGGTGATGAGCTGCTCGCCGTTGCCACTGGCAACCACCCTGAGCCAGCTGAGTCCAAGGAGGGCTGTCCTACAACCGGGCACCACAGCCATGCCCGCAGCATCACTTCAGTCGGAGGGCACCCTGCGGTGACCCCCAGCCCCACTCCCTTCTTCCAAGCACCGACGTGGGTCCTCTACTCCCATCCCACCAGCTCCATGTCCCGGGTCAACATGGGAGTCCACCTGAGCACCTTCCCCAGGGATGTGGAGAGCTGGACCGAGCCGTGGGTCATCTACGAGGGCCCAAGCGCTTATTCGGACCTGGCTTACATGGAGCTGCCCTACAACGAGGCCTCCATCTCCGGTGGCCCGGCCATCGCTTTCGCCTGCCTCTACGAGAACGGGACGCGGTCGCCCTACGAGCAGATCTCCTTCAGCATGTTCACGCTGCACGACGTGCTCCAGAACATCCCCCTGACAGCCACTGCTCCACCGCGGCACGGGGGCCCTCCGCGCCGTGGGAAGCGGAGGCGAAGGAGCTGCCTTGTCTCCTAGTGACTCCCAGATCAGCTCCTGCCAGACCCCAGGTCACCAACCCAGAGCTGGTGCACCGGGATGCCGACAGCCTGGGGTCCTGCCACTGGCCAGCACGGCCACATCACACAGAAGGCACACGCTACCGTCCCCAAACTGGGTTTTATCTCATTTTTATTGCTATTTTTTTAATTACCTAGCCAGGTGGGCATGGAGTCTTGTGCCACCAGCCCAGCCCCAGGCTCCTTGCTGAGCTCATGAGCCATCCTGTGAAATGCGTCCTGGGGGGGCAACTGCAGCTGCGAGAAGGCGGCTGCGGGCACCCCGTGCCACCCACGGGGATACGATGTTCCGTCTGTGCATTAGGAGGTACTACAACCCTGCTCCAAGGGCTTTCCTCCCATGGTCATAAACATCCACATTCCCTTTTTTATGGCTCCTTTTCAACGATCCTGTTCCAGCCCATCCTTTTTTTCTCAGCAGTCTCTCCCAGTTGCTGTTTAATCTGGCTGATTGCTTCTCTGTTTATTAAGCTACCACAAACGTCGTTACTTTCTTGTGAACCTTACCGGTTTTGGGGCAAACATCCTCCCAGCACGGGCAGGTTCAGGCCTGCAACCACACTCAGTCCCTGCATCCCCACACCGGGACGGGGGATGCGCTGAAGCTGGTGAGACCTGATGTGAGCGCGGCAGTGGGAGCTGCGATGGGTCCACGGCCGGTGGGGGGGAGCGGCTGCTCCTAACATTTGCTGCACGTGTGTGGGGGGGAGCTCTGGGGGATACATCTCATTTCCAGCACTACTTCCTTCAGCACGACTCCATCCGCATCCCCACGCCCCAGCCAGAGCCCAGCTCGGCTCCTCTGGTGTCCTGTGTCCCTCCTGCCCTGTGCAGGAGACGAACTCCCCCCCAAGCTGCCCTAAATAGAGACTGGCTAACAAAAACAAGTTAACATTCCAGCTCTTCTCTCTGCAACTACTGCCCTGTCACATTTGGCACTCAGGTAGGTGGAGGCTGACGAGGAGCAGCCAGAGAAGCTGCTGGGCTCGTGCTAGGATGCCAGGAGCCAGGCCCTCACCTCCATCGCTCACCGGGCTGGTCTCCAACCCCGAACGGCTGGCAGACCCAAGGGCGTCCGCTCCAGGGTGGAGGAAGAGGTATTGCCCGGGCAGAGGGCTCTGCCCTCTTCACGCCGACCCCACGCACGTCGCTTCCACGTCTCGTGCTCTGTCCCTGTGAGGGAGTCCGCCTGTCTTGCACCGGGCTGGTACCCCAGCTTGTGCCGTATCCCGCCACTGGCCGAGGCACACAGGGGCATGACGCCTCCTCCGAACGCCAGCCTCCCGGCAGGTCCCTACTTCCCCTCGCAAAAGCCGCAGAGGCACCCGAGGCAGCCGTTGAGGATTTGGAGGGAGGCCAGCACCATCTCGGTGGCACTGATGAGCAGCAGGAGGGAGAAGAGGACGACGTTCCAGGACACGATGCCTGCTGGCTCCAGGCAGATGCTCCAGCCGCGAGGGTCATACAGGTAGCTATCTGCCCTGTGCAATGGGGAGAGGAGGAGATGCAAGAGATGCCTTGAAGCGGGTCAGGAATCGCTTCCCAAAACCGAGGTGTGTCCCAGACACCCTGTCCTTCACCCCGAGGATGAGCAGGGAGATGAGGGTGGGAAACACACAACGTAGAAAGCCGTGGAGACAAGGACCTCTTGAGCTCCTGGGGTCTTGCATCACCACCAGCAAGCTCATCCACCCCACCGACTTAATTAGCCACAGGCTGACGAGGCAGCACCAGCAATTCCACCCTGCTGCCTCACCTGGCGTCAGGCTCCTGGCCGCTGGCATCCAGGAAGGGGTAACCCCAGAGGGTGCCGTGCCCGGTGCCATGCTCGGTGGCATTGTAGAAGCAGAGGGGTCCGTCGGTCAAACCCAGCCCGGAGAAGACGAAGCAGGCGGCGGCACCCAGGAGAGCCAGCTTGGAGAGCACGGCAGAGATGAAAGCCTGTGGGCAGCAGGGGGGGAAATCAAAAATCAGGTGGGCTCCAAAACGTGGCTGCACGTTATCGGCAGAGTTTGATAAGGGGGCAAAACTCCCCTCCCCCTCACTCCTCAGGGAGCTGGGCAGGGAGTGGGGATGAGCAGGGACAGGCAGGGATCTGCCATGTAGAGCCTGGTGGGCAGAGCCTGTGCCAGCACACACAGGGAGCCCTGTCCTTGGGGGGGTTTGCACCACGGGAGAGGGTGCACCTGGCCATATCCCACTGTGGGGCCATGGGAGAGGGGGCACCCTGCCATATCCCACTGCGGGGCCATGGGAGAGAGGGATCTGTGCGATATCCCACTGCAGGGCCACCGGAGAGGCGGCTCCCACCCTGGGGCCACCAGCTTAGGACCGCTTTGGCAGAGGGATCCCAGCACGGCCTTACGTTGCAACGGGTGCCACAGTCAGAGCAGCCGGTGCATCGCCACCCCACTGCCGTGATGTGGGTCGCTGCCAGCAGCACCTGTGGGAAGGAAAAGATAGCTGGGGGACGAAAGGGAGGCACCTGCCCCATCCCTTCGTCCCTGCTCTACAGACGTGAGGAAGGACAAGGAGCAAACGGCGGTACTCACGGTGATGCCACCTCCCCAGACACCCGGCACGGTCTTGGCATGCTTGCTGATGTGCCCCTCCACCAGGTATGTCAATGCCCCGCCGGGGAAGAGCAGGAGGATGTTGGCTGCCACAGAGAGCGTGCCCAGCACCAGCAGGCAGGGACCCACAATCCGGCTGCACTTCCCCACGCACATGGCTACGCTGCAGGGAGATGGAGAGGAAGAGAGGAGGGGGCTGTCTTCGGCCCCGCAATGACCCCACGGCTCCTTCACCCCCAGCCCATCTCACAGCCTCACAGGAGTTTGCTGGCTCATGCTTTTGGGTCCCACCTACCCCACTGGCATTGCTCTCACTCGAGAGCAATTCCCAATGCCAATCCTATTTCCCCCATGTCATCTGATTAATTAAATAGTAAAAATAAACTCAATGTTAATACTGATCTACTGTCACTGAACAGTTTTCTTGAGGCTGAGCTATTTTATCATAGAAGGAGAAATCCAACTTCAGACCTGCTAATTCTTCTTTGCCAAACGGGCAGGGGAGTTTAAGACAAGGGCAGGTCCCACACCGAGCCTTGGGACCCATGCGATACACAGGGTCGGCTCCTCCAAAACATTACTGCAGGAAGGAGACCAACGATAGACTCACAGAAGGGTTTGGGT